TCTCTCTCTCTCTCTCTCTCTCTCTCACACACACACACACACACACACACACACACACACACACACACACACATTCTCCTGTCTATTATGGGAGCGCCGCCTGCTGGAAACTGGGTCCAGCGTTCCCTGAACATCGTGAGTAAAGCACCAACTGAGACCCCACACACACTCTTTGAGTTGTGTATAGTGAACATGACAAAACATGCACATACAGCATAATCACTACCTTACCCTTCGCGAACCACATCAACAAACGAACTACGGGCTGCGCATCCGTGCCCTCGTGGTAAGTCAATAGGCAGATCCAGAATCCAATTTGAGAGCACCAGGTGTAGGCAGATCCAGAATCCAATTTGAGAGGACCAGGTGTAGGCAGATCCAGAATCCAATTTGACAGCACCAGTCCTTTTCTTCGCAGGTTTAAGGCTGCGGTATAATTTGCAGCCCTAAGGGTTGCGGTATGATGGGGTCCGGCATCTGTGTGAGGCTGGCTGAATTTTGGAGGCGGATGACCACTGCAAGCTAGGGCATATAGGGGTCCAAATTTTGGTATGACCGGTCCTTCAAGCGCCAGCGCAGCACCCGCAGCCTGAGGAGGCACTATCGGTAGGTAAACATTGCAAAGGACAGTCTCACACGCAAGTCCCATGCATAGTGGCACTCCCAGGGACAGGCTGTGGTAAGCTCTCTGTGGTGAAACTGGGCGGAGTCCAAATTAGTGAATGCTGTTTGCCAGATGCAACTTTGCCTGGAAAAATATCAGAATTTTTTTGAAAAATCACTAAGACCGCAAAATAATCACAGCATCAATTTATCATCGACTTACCGTGAGGGCATGGGTGCGCAGCCCGTAGTTTGTATATGCTTGATTGATGAAGGAGGCATTATTGGTGAGGTTTAGAAGTAGGGTGATTGTTGCATGAAAAAAAGGAGTATTTTTGTGTGTATGTGTCAACTTTGTCAAGATTGGTGTGTGTGTGTGTGTGTTTGTGTGATACTTAGGGTGTTTGTGTTTATCACATCTGTTAGTGTTGGAATGTGTGGGATTTCGGTAATTTGCATGGTATTAATGTATTAGATTATTTGACATACCTTGATTCATAGTTGGTGTCGAGGCTGGTGGTCCTTGAATATTGGTCCATATGTCGTATATGTGTGTGCTTCAGTGTTTGTTGTTGTAAGTTTTTTTACTTCATTAGATAAAAGTTGTTTTGTCACACGTGACTCACTCAATCGGGCACTGAACGTGTGGAGCGTTGAATACGTCCACGTTCAGACACATCTGTTTGCTTGCAAATGCCATGCAGGTGTGTCATTTCAACCTGAGGCCAAGGCCATGCCCTTTCCGATTCAGACTTTTCCAGTTTTCCACCCTGCTGCTGCTTTGCCACCGTTTCGACCAAAACCCAGCGACGCAGTCCCACGGGCAGCTACCGGTACCGCATTTTTGAAAGAAACTGCCACCACCCTTAAAGTGTTGTGCCTGCACCTGCCTGCATTTTTGGAACCTTCCAACGACCAAACGAGTCCACTTTTCCACCCTGCCGCTGCTTTGCCACCGTTTCGACCAAAACCCAGCGGGCACAGTCCCACGGGTAGCTACCCGTCCCGCATTTTTCAAAGAAACTGCCACCACCTCCCAAAGTGTCATGCCTGCACCTGCCTGCATTTTTGGAACCTTCCAACAACCAAACGAGCCTGAATCAACGACCGGTATAATGAAGGACGACGGAAATTCTCGGGGGGGAAATGTCTCGGGGGGAAAATGTAACGCTGACGGGCTGCGAACAATTTCCATTTTTGACACTCAGCCATGAGTAGGCCAACAGAACAAGTACTCCAACTTCAGTGATCTTTTGCACTCAGAAGAAAGAGTGGAAAAATCTGAAAATTGGAGTGTTGCAGATTTTGTTGTGAACTTTCCAGGAAAAATATTAAAAATAAATAAAAAATCATGCAATCCATGCCGTATGCCTCGTCGAAAGTCTGAGGGCATCACCGAGCCCCACTCAGATCCAGGCCGAAGGGGCAAAAGAACTCCACATAAGGATTCAGGGCTTGGGGGAGTTACAGTTGACTAAATTCCAACAGTCAAAGTCAAAGTGTACCCAGCCCAGGCCGCCCGTCACACACACACATTTGTTTGTATGCAGGTACCCAGACAGC